TGAGATGTGCCAGGAGGCACAGACCAGGCCTGTGGAAAACAGTTCTGCTCCTCAGGAGTGAGAGTTCTGTCCACATCCTCAGCTGGGGTTTCACCATGGCTGTCAGCGCCAACAGTTTTCCTCCCAGCACCTAGGTATGGTTTTTGCGCTGCCTGGGGTGACTTATGTAAGGAAGTGTGTGCAGACCTATGACCGTGCCCATGTGGTCGAAACCTCTGACGAGGCCCAGCCAGATAGCCTCAGTTAATGATGCCCACCTAGTGGTAAAAATTTTCTTTGTTTTTAGTTCACGTGCATGAAGCCTCTATTCTGTCTGATCCCTAGGTGAGACTACCAAGTTGAATAATGTCTTTATTGCGGTGGGCGTGGTGTGTGCCTTGCTGGTGGCCCTGCTGGTCGCAGCCCTCTACTTCCTCCGAATTCGACAGAAGAAAGGTGGGTGAATTCCCTGCTTCCTCCCCAAGAGTTTGCCTCTGGGCTGTCCTTCCCACAGGAAGAGGCCACTCTAATACTTATAGCTACACACAGCTTAAGCTGTGAGAACATCCAGTTACTTCCAGTAACAAGAAGTCCAGAGGTAGCCCTGCCATGGCTGGCGTGGCACCTTCATCAGGCTGGCATCATGGTTGCTGGACGGCCATCACTGCTCCAGGCCTCGCATCCTCATGGGACCACTACTGAGGTGGGAAGCAGGGAGCTGCCAGGTGGCAAGAGGGTCTCAGGAGGAGATAGTGTTTCCCAGCAGCCCTCCAGAAAGCTTCTGTTTTCCTCTTACCTGCCCAGGTTACGTGTGCAGCCCTCAGGCAGGAGGGAAGGCTGGAAGGAAGTGGGGCTACTACCACAGCCTACCTGCAAGGCCATTGGAAGGATTAAGTGGGTGATGACATGTAAAAGGTTAGGAAAGTACCTGGCACACAGCAAGTAATCAATAAATGTTAGTTCCTGTTGTCAGCATTATACGTGAGGCCAGAAACATGAACCACCTCCCGGGAAAGCTCCCCTCACAGTGGCAAATGGTGCAGCCTTTGACTTGACAGAAGGAGGGTACA